CTTTCAAGATGTATTACTGCACAATATAGTGAGTGATGTTAGGTATACGTACATTGCAGGAAAATATAAGTTAGAAAATATGTGAAGAAGATATATAAATTGTGTGGCAATTTAAGTGCGGTTGAGTAATTCAGATTAGAAACTTCATACCCACTATAGGGATTTTGTGTACCACTTCCCGTGGGATCCAGTTTTTGTATATTCTAACTATTTTAATAAATATTCACGTTTTCATCAATATATATATATATTGTTTTATGTTGTTAGTGTTCTTAGTTTTTTTTTTTTTTTTTTTTTTTTTTTTGCCTTTTGGATTTTTGTTTTTTTTTTGTTTGTGAGTTAGGGTTTTGCTTTGACGAGACAAGAGGGGGGAATTGCAAATGATTATTCTCTTTTGTTGTTCCTCTTTGCTCTCTTCCCTATATGTTCTCTCTGTCAATATTTCTTTTTCTTTTTTTTTCCTTTTTTCCTTTACTTTCTTCTTTTTTTTTCTCTCTCTCAACTTCCCTTTATAAAAAAACTCTCAATTTTTTCTTACATTTTTTTTTCATAGATGACATTGTTTATTTCCAAGTATATATGAAATATTTTCAATTATTATGATGAGTTTTAATGTTATGAGATTATCAAATATTTTCAATTATTTTTGTTTTAATATTCTAAATTATAATCACTAAATCAAATGCTTCACCAAACTAAAACCAAAATTTATGCCGTCTTAATAGATGAATTCTGGATTTGCATAAATATTGGTGAGGAAATTTGCTTATGATTTCTACTATTCACTAATATTATTTGTCAGAGCTTATGATTTTTTTTTTTAATATAGAATGAGTAAAATAAAATAGACAGACACACACACGCTCTTGATTATTCTCGAGTCTTGGAATGCAAACTTTTGTGCAATTATGATTTTTTTTTCATTATAAAATAAAACTTTATATAATTGGTTTTTTGTATGACTATTATATTTTTAAAAAATAATAAAGATGTAATTGTAATTTTTTTTTATAATTCGCAAATTCTCTTTTGAGACCTAACTAAATCTCCTAGAAAAAGAAAAACAATTTACACATAAATTTGATAACAAGTCTCGAAACAAGTTCCCCTCTCATAATACCACGAACTATAAAATTTAATTAATCTAGAAGAAACGTTTAAAATCAATTATTTTGTAACAATGACAAATAATATCATAAATAATCAAATGTTCATTTAAATAAATCCCAACTTTCATTTTAGATAAATAAGTAATAAATAAAAATTTACTGTGTGGCCAATAGATATAGTCTATTTCCTCTAAAAAAATTAAACAGTTTATTTTTCCTTTTAATTAAAAATGTAAGCCAATTTATTTATTTATATTGAATTGCGTTGGGAGCTGGTGCTTCGGCACGCGTCTTGTGATTTGGGATGCATGCTCTCAAGTTAGCCCCGGTCCCATGCATGCATGCATGCCACTTTCAGCTCCCCATTATTAATTTATTACAATTCCATATTTATTTATTTAATATACAATTGTTTTGTTTTCATAATGTAAAATCAAATTGAATCAAATCTAACATATTATGTATGATGATGAATAGAATATAAAAATCGATTAACAGACGAAAATAATTTTTAGAAAAATAGGTAAAATTTTATTGTTAGAAATCAAATCACATTCAAATTGAATAGAATCCGAATCCGAAGGGATAAAAGATTGAAAAAATATATTTTTTTTTTATAAAAAACAAAGGAAGAACAACTCATTAAACACCGATTAATCAGCAATCAATTCATCTCATTGTTGCTTAAAACCAACTCATTAAACACTGATGATTCCTTAATTTAGGGCATCTGATCATATATGTCTTTTTGGGTTGGTGTTTGTCTTTTTGGGTGTACAAACGTCCAACGAAGGAGTGTGTGTGTGTGTGTATATATATACACTAAAATTATACCTTGATATTAATCACTAATAATACTATAATTATTAATTAGTTGGTCCACGGCTTGTGTGTGGTGTTACTCTTTCAGTATTTAGTAGTGATTATTAATTTTATACTGAAATCCAACGGTTTATTTGATCCAAATCAAAATAGATTTGTTAATAAGATGATTGAAAAGGATGTGTATATATATATATATATATAATATTCATACATGACCACAAATTCAATTTCAATTTCATTGCCAACGCTACCGAATTATTTGTTCGAATTCTAACGTTATTAAAAAAAGGCCGAGACACTGTAAAGAAAACCCCGATGATAATCGAATGAAACGGTCCATTAATCATATTGACAAATAAGGGAGAGAGTCCAAAGGGATTGTGGTTAAAATTAGTGTTTTGAAAAAAAAAATCATCTAATTAAGGTGGAAAGAGACAAGCAGTTGGTTCCCATCTTTCTCAACATATCGGCGGCGTTTTGGACGGTGTTGACCTGCTGCGTTTCGATGAACCCGTCTACGCACGCCCCGTAATCGCTGACCGCTGCCGTCAGAAACGCGTTTATTGCGATCACGTTTCGTTTCTTTATGCTCTTCCTCGCGTTTTGTAGGTTCACAAGCGCGTCGCTGAACGTTTCGTAGCACATCGCGATCGCTTGGTTCCCGCTCTTGTACCTGGACGAGCCGTATAGATACATTAAATAATAAATTTTAAAAATGAAAATTCTATTTCTATTTATATTTGGTTGTTTATTTTTTTTGTTTCGAATATCGAAACCACCCCTAATTCATTTTCAGTAATAATTGTATCGTTTGGACGAATTTAGGTCGGTTATATATTGGGTTAACCAATAATATTAAAAATAAACTTTAGAGTTACGAAAGAATACTTCTTAAGATGATATTATTAATATCCATACTGATTTGGTTTTTTATTTTAAACATTTACATTGTTTATTTAGGATTTTATTAATATTATATTTCATATTTATATATACGTTGATCTTAAATAAAGAAAAACAATAATATAATTTCTATTTAATTCTATAAACTAATATATCTAAATACATTTTTATCGTAACCGGTTAAAATTTTCATTTAAATTGTGTTACATGTACCGAAAAAATTCGAGAAGATTGATATACTCTACTCGGAAATTCTCTGTTTAATTATACAATGGTATTAATTTCATGTATATCCAAAACAAACCAAATTGATAATCTTTTATTTTTTTTATATAATAAATTTTCACGTGGCTTTCTCTAATCCTCTAAAAATTATAGTTGAATTTTTATAATTTTCGGATTATAAAAAAAAGTACCTGGCGGCCTGGGTCAAGACGGATTTGGTTTTGGATTCCAAGAGACGGATGGCGTGGTGGGTGGCTTGTCTCGGACTGACGAGCCGTCGAACCAACGGACCACACAACGACGGATACGCAGTGTGGCTGCAGAGGTTCACCGGACGACCCTCCGCTCTCTCTATCGCACCACTACCCATTATTATCACAATCGCTGTCGCAAACGCAAACGCTGTTGTGAATGTGGTGCGGCCCGCCATTTCTCTTCTTGATTTCCCTAAAAATATATGTATTTTTAAAATTTTGGAAATGGAAAATCAACGGGCATTTTGCATATGCGTTCCGTTTGTTGTATATATAAATATTTTGTTTCTAAATTTAGGGTTTCCCCTGTTTTCTATTTTTCTCCGATTAATTTTACGGTCAGCATTATTTATTATTTTTGAGGTTTATCTTGTTTCTAGGAGATGTTTCAGCTGGGTGTGTTATTCAATTTATTCTTAATTATAAATTTATAAATATAATCTATTTCTTAAATTTTATGCGATTAATCTAGAATTCGTCTGATTTGATAAATGGGCAATACAGTTTGATCACAATACTTTTTTTTTTTTTTTGCCATTGGCAATTAATTTGATTGACCACAATGTTATCGCCATTCATTCAAATATCTCGATTTTTTTCCCATTAAATCACTCGAATTGTAATAATTTCTCAGTAATTTAGAGAGATTTCAAAGCTCAATACTAACAATATGATTAAAAAAATATAGTATAATATGAGTTTTCAAGTTTTAATAATATTTTTGCACTTAATTTTTGCAAAAAATTATAAAAAAGCCATTTTTTCACAATACCTTTAAAATCTAGATATTTTTTAGCAAAAAATATCTGGGTCATTTAAATAATCACGAAAAAAATCAATGACGAGGACCATATTGATAAATCAGCACTAGAAATAATGCAAAAAGAAAGAAGAATAGGGTGGGCATTCGGTCCTTACCAAAAAATATGGTATTTTTTCTATCCGAATGGTATTAACTTTAGAAAAACTGGAATTCCCGAAACTGAACTGAATCGAAACTTTAAAAAACCCAAAAAACCAAATTTTTTTAAGATCTATTTTTTTTTATAATGAAAACGAGAATCTGATCAAACTGGAACGAGAAACGAACTGAACCGAATATAATATAATAACCGATTGATAACGTACGGTTGTAAAACCGAACCGAACCATTCCCAGCTCGAACCCAAGCGGAATACCAAAATGTCCGCCCCTCGAACAGAGCGTAAGTTTAAACCTTTATGGAAAAATCAGCGTCACATAAACAACAGTTAAAATCTAAAAAGAGCTCAAAAGTTTCAAGTGACAATCCTCAAGCTGCCAGAGAATGCGAAACGAGAATCAGCGAGGAGATTAGATTAGAGGATCACCCTTCTTCTCTTCATTCGATCCGAACTATGTTTCGGTTCATGCACTTGAACCTGCAGATCTCATCGAAGAAATCATCCGCGCTGCTGTGGTTGCTCTTCATCTGGAGGATCCTTATCACCATCACTTTGAGCGATCTCCCGTATCTCACCAGCCATTCCAGCGTATTCATCTTCTGCTCCGCGTTCAGCGGCGACCTCACCGTTATAACGACTTCCTCCAGACACGGTATCGCGAACCCCGCCTCGAGCTGCGGAGAAAAAACGTGATCACATTCAGACAAGAACCTTAAACAACTTCGGAAAGTTCGTGCCTTTGTTCTTTATGGGCGAGATCTCATACGGTTTTCAGGCTGTTTTTCTGGCAAAGTGCGGCGAACATCGCTCCGTGGATGTCGAACTTCCGCAAATTGGGATGGCTGTTGAAGAACTCGACGAAATCCACCTCGGGAAACGGCTGGAAGGCCTCGTAGTCACCCGTGAATTCGACCTTCATGTAGAGATGCTTCACTTCTCTTGCCTGCTCAAGCATTTTGCATATCGCATCCCAACACCATTGCACTCCTCGAATTGACAAGACTTCAAGAGCTGAGAGGTTCCCGAAATCTACCATGTAAACTCTTCCTAAAAACGAATCGACCCAAAACACAAAGTCAGTCACTTTCGATCTTTAGATGGCGGAAATAGATAATATATAATCTCATAGTATAAGAAGATTTTGTTTACCGGCAGAATTGGAAATCGAGAGGTTCTTTAAGGACCTTGTTTCGGGGACCCTGATCCAGCTACAGCCTTGAACCTCAAGGGACTCGAGTCTCGGGCACGTGAGAGAGAGGGAACTGCTACCCGATCCGTAGAAATCAAGCTTACACTGTTCCAGGAAGGGTAATTCAATCGAAATGGACTTAACTCCTTCACAACCGAGCAGAAGCAAGTTCCTCAAGTTCGGGCATGCTCCTAGTGCATTAGATAAGGCTGCGTCTTCCACTCTCGCTCCTACTATTTCGAGGCAATGAAGGCTCGGAAACATGTCCCACTTTGGAGGGTTAACCATTAAAACACCCCAAAGCTTCAAAATCTCCAAACCCTTCGCCACGCCGATGCAATCAAGCTTGGAGGGGCCCTCCATGGCTTGGAAGCTTGCGAGATTATCCATCCTCAGCTCGAGATGCCTAAGGGACAAACCCACATGCTTCAACCAAGATTCAAGACCTTTGCTGGTGAAAGAGCTATAGACCACGAGCCCCTCGAGACGAGCAAAAGACAAAATCATCTTCAAGACAATGGCGTCGGGATCTTCATCACTCCCAGAGATGTTATCGAAAGAATTTCGGGGAAAGTATATCGTCTTGACGTACTCTGTCGACTCTTTCCACCGTTTGGAGACGCAGTTGCACATAGCAATATCTCTAGCATTGGTGATGCCGGAAAGAGT